CACACGCGCACACAAACACACATTCGTCGATGAGAATGCGAGGACTGCGCACAGTTACTGCGCGTACTGTATAAAACAGGGGCAGTCATCCCTTATAAGTGCATGAGATACAGTACTCTCGAAAGTGCCTTCTTCTATTCAGATCACACCGCATATTATTGCGCGATAGGGAGTATGTACAATAAGTATGTGTAATTTAAATGCTTAATAGGCCTACCAGCAGTTTAATTTGCGTGATACAGTCTAATAAATACCTGACATATTATTATTATTAGAGACATCTTCTAAGGCTTGATGCCGAATCCATTAGGTTTAGTGATGATGGTAGATGGGCGCCTGTGTTGTTTTCACGGCTTAGACGATTCAGAAATCGATAGTTCTGAAATTTCAAATAGCCTTAGCTTCCGAGGGATTTCACCCTGCACCCTCTCAACGGGCTCTCTAACGCCAGTAAAATGATGCTTGCTTTTAATAGCCTAGGTGATACTGTACAGCTCTGTTGTTTTTTGTTTTTTTTTCGGATATTTGCAATACATTCATCATCTACAATATAATAATAATAATAATAATAGCCCTAATAATAATAAGGCTCTAATAATAATAATAATAATAATAATTTGGGAGCTAAAGTGAAGCTTGTCTTTTCTCAGTTTCACAATACAGATCACCATTGAGACAGAGTGATTTATGTCAACAGTAGAACTTGTTAGACGCCCAAATGAAATTCAGTGTGACGGAATAAACAAGAAAAATGGGATAAAGCGAGACGCATTAAGATAATGCTACATGCCGATCCGTGAATTTTATGTTCTGTCTGTCCTAAGCCGTATGGATTGCAATTCATTCGTCAAATTTTAAGGATGGCGCGTCCCGTGCTTCAAGGACTACAGTAGCTGTGGGGTAAATTAATCTACAACTCTACAGATGGCCTAACACGTCAGTAAACCTTTTGTACCCTTACCTTAACCACACCAATTATCTATAAAGAATCCATGGAAGTAGCATATCTAATGCACTATCAATTATTCACATCATTTGTATTTGCAAGTGCTTATAACTATGAAACATGTCCTCATTATCTCGACTATCCATTGTTTCGTTATTATTATTTTTGTTATAATAATTCGTTCATTAAGTTCCGGTACAGAATCCTGATATTATCAGCCACTCTAATTGGACGTTGTTCTTGGGGTTAATTAGAAACGTGTTGTTATTTTATCCATGGCATATCTATTATGCAAAATATACTTATTAACTCAGAATGCAGTGTTACGGGTCACAGCTAGATAAATCAACATCCTTCCAGTATCGCTGCATGTTCGACACTCGATCTGACAAAAGATAGAGTATAGAACATGAACGACTGTTGAATTATTTTTGACACAAATTTAATTTCTCTGAAGTGTACCAGAGCAACCAAGGCCTGAACATAGCCTTATATCAGAGTCAATGGCTTGCCATTTATATATCGCAGGTCATATGATGATGATCACGACACTCTTCTTTGTTCTCAATGGGCCTACGAATAATAAGAACGCTGCACAAGCTTGCGTGTTTAGTTGTCTCCATCGCAGTAGGCCTAATATAAAGATACGGGTTAGTTCGAGCACAAATAGGGCCTATTTGTGATACAGTACATTAGGCCAGCCTGCTTCTCGGGGGGGGGGGGTGTACTTCAGAATGTTAAAGTCGTGAGGCCTATGACGACCATTTTCACCCATTTTATTAATAAAATTTACTATAGTAACTTCAAATCAGATATAACGTTCAGCTAAAGACATTCTATAACATTGTTACTGAAATCCGATTGTTTTTAATAAAGGCGCCGAGTAATGGCATTATTTGACGTACATGCAGCGAGGTGGTGTCTTGATGTCGTCTTCTTTATGCAATTCATAATACAGATAGCTACAGTTAAATATCAACATCATTTAGTATCATTGTCATTATTGATTGATTGTACGGTTTTTATAGGTAACTACATGTATACGCAGTCGAATGCTGACAAGAGGGGAGAGAATGCTATTCTTCAGATAGGTGAGAAACTAAAGTTGTCGGCGGGAAGAGGGGTGCTAAGATTCTATTACCATATGGAAGATCGTGACGGACCAGATTCACTAGGTGATCTTAAGGTAAAGAAGACCGACTAAAAAAAAACCAAAAAAACTTAATGTCAATTTTAATGTTAGCTCTATAAATAGAATTGAACTGAAGCCAATATCAATCAATGCCAGTGGTCATAACTGTCAAATTTTTCACTTTCCTCCCAGTCGTTAATGCAGTAGTAGTAGCAGTCCTTATGACCTTATAGTCAGTTTACATTATATTGATAAAATGTTTTCGACAGGCTGATTTGTGGCGTTAAAAATTGTTATAGACCTATTGAATTGTTATATGTTTATACAGTGTGAAACACGAGATAAATGCGAATATATTGATATTAAATATTAATAAAAATGTTCAATATCAATATTATCGGTATCCATTTCAATACCAATACGAATGGCAATCAATATAATTATCAATAAGCTACCAATATAATTTAACCAATATCAATATCGATATCAATCAATACCAACATCAATATAAATGTTAATATCAATACCGAAATCAATATCAATATCGATATTAATATCAATAACATTATTCAATACCACCAACAATATAATTCCAATATCGATATCAATATCAATAATTACCAATATCGATATCAATAACATAATTAAGTATCAATAATAAGTAGCCTACCAGAGACCTACTTACATGTCCATAGTTTTGGTCTGTGTACTAACCAATGTATACATTTGGGTGAGGCAGCCCTGTGAGACTTGATACAAATTATAAGTTACCCGGGCCTTTAGAAAAGTGTAACAGAGTGTACACGTACTACTGTAGTCTAAACCGGTCGAATATGTGTTCAATCTGACCATGGAGGAAGAATGTTATTCCCCATTGTCTGTCAGTGTAAACCTCACCAATTCCGCCCTGTAGACAGTATACAATAGTCAATACTGTGTGAACACATACGGTAGCTTTCCACTCTGTGACATTTTTTTCAATTCAAGGGAGTGCAGACGAGACTTCTGTATATTTATACAGAAATACACTAAGCTTAAGTTATTGATACCATCACATCTCATTATGGAATTGGAGACTTACTATATGTCTTCTTCATAAATCTTTCAATTCTTAAATATCATAAGCAGACTCAATATATCACAATTTATAAAGTGTGTATTGCACCTTATCAACTATTCATAATAAATCACCGCGATGTTAATCATATTTCTCATGTGCAGTGTATGACAGGAACACCATCCGTCATTTTCAACATCGTATTACAAATTGTCCTTCTTCAAGGTGATAGGTTCAACTCGATATCTAGACCTACTGTACATTGCAAGTTTAGACATAAATTATGAAATGAAGAATTGACCTTCGTATAGAAATTTGGTCACAATTTCCATTGCTTATGAAATTATTGTGTAGAGCGCTTACCGGTATATAACTAGCTACCAGACTATTAATAATTATTTACGTAACTGTAACCGCAATGTTATTTTCCTATTCCCAGCCGTGCACTAAATTTTCATTATTATTATTATTATTATTATTATTATTATTATTATTATTATTATTATTATTATTGTTATTGTTATTGTTATTGTTATTGTTATTGTTATTGTTATTATTATTTTTATTGTTATTATTATTATTATTATTATTATTATTATTATTATTATTATTATTATTATTATTATTATTGGGCCTGTTTTGGGTTCGCTGCCATGGCAGAGAGTTGGTTTGAAACATGAAATGGGTAGAAACGTCCATCATCATTTATGTCAAAATGTTAGACAAGTGAATGAGGAAATGACCCATTCGGAATGTAGATGTTATACTGTGTTAACCTCTTTACACAATATCAAATCATGTGACAAACTCGTGTAATGTGGCCATAAATGGGCATGATGACGTCATGTTACACCCAACTATGGGCATATCACATTTATTTGTCACATAAAATGTGATAGTGTGGACATAGCTTAATTTTGATTTTTGTTGATATTGCTAAGGTTTACGGTTGTTACCAAGGTGGTCGTAACATTGGCGAGCCAATGTGGACACGGTCTAAATCACAAGGGGATAAATGGTTGATGGCTGAGATCGTCTACGAGTGTCGGGGAGAATTCCAGGTGCATATTATATTGTTCTATTCATGATAAAAGTGTATTATTGATAGATGGGCTAAGGAATTGTACAAGTTTCTATTGTGTAATGCCTAACACCAACTCACTTTCTGCAATGAATTCATGTCAATTGCGAGAGCCTGGCGCCAATCAACATGCATCTTGCATATGATGACCATTAATGCCAATTGCAATATTCACACGATAGTGGTGAGAAAAACCAAACTCTGACACGTATCTTCATTATACAGTAAATGAATTTGGAATGAGCTTTGCTTCATATTTCTTTACAAGGAGATATAAAAACTTGTGAAAATAGCCAACTTACGATCAAATCACGCCAAGGTATATAGCGGATACTCGCAGAATCCAATATTACATCATTATAATACAGTATTATAATAAACGAGGAGTAACTGAAAAGATAAATAGCATACAGAAATGTAGGTCTACTCCATTTTACGATATGCGATCATTAGACTCAGTGGAATAAATCGACTACCCAAAAAGACCGACAGTCGTGTTGTTTGTACCTTACATTGTATGAACGTCGAAATAGACATTGACACGCATTCATTTGCGCAGACTGTTTATTATAATCACACAACGGAACCTTTCACTACTGTAATATCTTGAATTTAAATTCAAATTGCTTCAAATATTTCCTATATTGCTATAAACTGGAGCTTCTAAGGAAGTTAATAACTGAATTGATTAAATAATCGTCAGTGTAATGAGAAACCGACATTAGTCTCATTAACATTTTGGCAATTTCAATTAGATTGTAATTATCTACCTCATCCATCGGAATTAGATGATGGGCCATGATAATGTTCGACTTGCGTGTGCGATTTTATTATGCAATTCTGTGTTATGTCTTATCATAAACATTGATTCCTCAACATGTTATGGACGTATACAATTATTCAATGCTGGTCCACTTATCGTAGGCCTGTATACATCTCAATCGTTGTATTGTGAATTTGTTGAATTTTCCTAGAAGCAGGCCTACGCTGTGTATAATGATTTGTGAGCACCAGTAGCCTCGGCGTGATTACAGGCAAGGCGATACAAAATGAAAATTCATGGCGTAATATCTTTACTAAAGATTAAATGAATCAAAATGATTCGCGCGCTTAACGTGATTCGCAATCTCGCTTTTTTTTTTAAACGCTGAGATCAGTTTTAGCCTGTAGTTTATGTTAATGTTTCGCCTGTTTTGGAAACGATGCTACATGCGCCTTAATCATAGATTTGACACAAGTAGTACACACGGATAGGTAAATAATGCAGTATTGCCGAACCATATCGTAACACAGCAGTGTCATTAGCAATTCAGAATAGCATTAGCGACGTTTCGCTAAAGGGTTACAAAAGTATGAAGGTTGGGTTTGGATTCAATAGATGCGTTTTACTAAATAGGCCTATTTCTTTTTTCTGGTAGGTTTTATTTGAAGGTATACGTGGAACTCGTGACAGCGACATAGCCATTGATGATATTCTTTTACTTGACCTTTCTATTGATGGTAGGTACATATAAAATTAATGTGCGATGATTTTAGATCTGCGATGTTGCGATTCATAACAGATTATTTTTTGCCATAGCACAACGCAAGTAGTTCGCACTGTCTATATCAAACTCATTTGTTATAAACATATTTTATGTTGCAAAGCCACTGACGTTAGCCCCCGGTGTATTGCATGAGCCCATCTGTTATGTTTGCATATTCATCTTTAGGGGGAATCATCTTACAAGCAAGCTGGATCAAATCGAAAGTTTAAGGCCAAGTTCATTCGCCGAGTAATATTAACAAGCATGTGCGCAAGCGCAGTTTGCTAATCTTACCAATCCACGCACGCGCGTGCCTGCATCATCGTAATTGTAAAGTGTATTGTATAAGTAATTGCAAAAACGTTCTATCCGGCGATTGAGATTGGTTTCATTGACACCAATCCTGTAAATACCTATAGTGTAGGCATCCATCATGTATGTTTTTGTTCACCCTGTCCTTTACATTTCTAGCTGCCTAATGCATGGCTGCGCATTCGCTGATGGCTGACGTCGATTTAACAATGATATGTATTGAGTAGGATTAGTACGTGCAATGCATGAGATGTGTATTCCGGTGCAAACATGTCTCCCATAATGCTGTATCATACAAACAATCACATTTACAAGTACAGTATTTCCATGTACCTCTCGGCCTTATAGTGAGCTAGCCATCGTCTATGTGATGACACATTATCTATACAATTATGCAGAATAGATGCTGTCTCTTATACACATCTAGATGTGTATAAGAGACAGCCATACGTATGAGTATTATTATGTGAGAAATGCAACATGACTTTGTATACTCCCAAGTGAAGACATTTGCATGTTGTACTGGTTTGCAATACACTTTGAAGATTAAGAGGCAGTAAAATTTTTCCCAGGCCCAGTGTTCTTTTTTTTTTTTTTTTTTTGCCAATTTTGGGCTTTTCTTATCTTGTTCTCATTTTACACACCTTTCAAAGACAGACAGTTATTGTACAGTAGTAGGCCTATAGGTGCATTATTGTGCTGTATAATAGAGGGTATTACATACACCCTACTGCACATAAGGTACGGATTACCAAAAGAATTTTACAGGACAACCTTTTTAAACATTAATACTTTTAAACATCAAATGGTAACAATTGATTATCAATAGGCCATACAGTTACACACTACGGCAGGCACGCGTATCTAGTTTGTAGTAAGTATGTTCCACTTATTACAATAATTTATGAGGCTGTATGCACATGAGACGAATCTCTGAATGACATTGCTTTCCCCGATGGGCAGTGACTGATAGATAATCGCCTTACACGCGATCGAATTTCAGATAATGTTCGTTGGCTGTAACCAACATTTTAAAGCAAAATGTATTCATGAACAGTTTACATTATGAATAGGAACATACGTGATAAGTAAAGCGTCGGTGTGGTTAAAGAAACGGTCGGGTTATTGAGATTTATCGACGTCTGTTGTAAACATGCATTTTCATCATCATCCCATCCCACATTAGGCAATACGCACCGCCTCCAAATAGTGCATGAACCTCTACAGGTAGCTCAGCTTTTAATAGTAAGCTATAATATGACCTGATATATGCAAAGTTTTGCAGTAAGGGTCAATGCTTTGACAGCCTGATGGGACATTTCATTGCCATTTAGCTATTAGTGTGATACTGAAGAAAGGTCGCGATCGTGTATCGGTATGGATTCTTGAAAATCGAACGTTTATTCTGTGTATATTGAACCTCCTTGAATACGGAATTGAAAAAGAAAAATCATTGTACTGCTTCAACTGGAAATCACAGTCCATTACATTCAATTAGTCAAAACCTTGCAGGCATGTACTTGCCAAAGTCACGCTAATTAACATCTATTCTTGATGCGTTCTTAATGTTGTTTATTCAAAAAGGAGCAAGTTGATGACCGATGCTAGATTGATTCATTACATATCAATTCTGAAGGAGTGTGGGATCGATTTCCAACAAAGAATCAAATCACACTTAATCCAAAATATATCCTGATAAACAATCATGTATTGTGTATTATCTCTGGGTTATTATGATACCATACTCCACTGGCCAAAGACTCAGTAAGCTTCGAATGACTTGATCACTGACCAGGGCTATGACCTGATGACTGTCTAGGCCCATTTCTAATGACCTGGTCAGTTGGCCGGTTGGATATTGTAATTCAACATTATCAAATCATGCGAAAATGTTTACCGGATTGGATTGAGTGTCATTTAATTATCCCCATGTTGCAATAATGACCTGGTCATTGGACGGAGACCGATACATGAACCGGAACATGCACATGAATTATGGTACAATTCTAACCTCTTAAGTAGGTTCGGCGATCACTTCTATCTTGGATTAATGCGCGCTTTTGTCCAGCGTTGGTTTGATATAATATATGCGTTTCAGAATGTAGGTCTGCACTACGAAGATTTTGTGGGATTTTAAATGCGTCATTTGTGTAAATAAATTCAGCTACTCTACAGTATTTCACGAATTTTCGCAAAACCGTTATTTCCACACAAGTTAAAAGATAAAGAACACCATATATTTTTAATATGTAAGGTGGGAATGGAGCACCACTCTAAATTTGACTTTAAATGTCTTTTTGTATTTGTCATCGGTAATTATGGTAATAGACATAATAAAAGTATGAGTGAAACGACATACCCGGTATAACTTATAGTTTAAAATATAATGTTATGATACAAAGGTCACAGATTGTTAATTTTTATTATTAATTAGCATTATTAGTATTAGCATTATTATTATTATTAGCATTATTCCTAGTGATAGTTAAATGCGGTTGTTTTGTCCTTTCGGCGTATCAGTATTCAGTAAAATTCTGTATTTACACTTTTGCAGTTGTCAACAATTTTTGAATTTATGTAGGCCTATTTAAATCATTTAATGGTTTAATTTAAATCATATCAATTAAGACTAGGTATCGATTATACAATTCAAAAGTATTGTTGAAAATAAGTACACTGTTTAGTTGTGGAAATATTGACTTCAGTAATTCTCGAACAGCTTGTTATCGACATGGAATAATATTAAAATTCAGTGAGTATGTTGTCTACACCAAATAGTGCCTAAATGCCGGTCTGTTAAACCGTTGTTTAATTAGCTAACAATGTTGGTTCCATAATGGTTTTTGTTTTATAAACTCTTAAGTTTATTAGTGTGGTGCGATGTACGATGTTGAACATGCTATTATTTGAAAATCAACATAAAATTAACTGTCTGTCATCTTTATTATTACGAGGTACCGGTAAACGTATTGTAATTGCACGTTAGATGTATGGCTGTCTTGTAGGAAGGATTATGACGAAATGGATTGGTAGGCTTCGTTATAATAATTCCATCACAACATCATCATTTGAAAATTCGAAATGCAGTAATCTGACTGCTGGTTGAATTTAGTGTTCATCTTGTTGTCTGTATTTTTTACTCATTTTAAGTTAACAGATAATAATCAACCCCGTTTAAAAGCGTAATTATAAGTAGAGAAGTCGTATCGTTCTTGTCGCACTGTGCTTGTGTTTTTTAAAGACTCGTTTAAGCCCAATGATGAAATGGTACAATTATGTGTACTCGAATCAAAACTAGAAAGGCAAAATGTCTCGGCTAAATGGCTAAGGACACACGTCTGCAGATTGTTTAGGATAATAGTACGGCACCTTATCATGATGATTGTAGGTGAGGATGGTAGGTGGGAATGGTGGTGGAAAGTAGATGGTGGGGTGATGATGATTATAATAAAAAATGTCACTTTTTAATTTTAAAGTTGTGCCTTCCGCAATAAGCATTATTGCCCTTTGCATCGGAAACGGAAAGTGTATCACAATAATTAATTACTAGTGAGAGACTTGTCTCACAAAACTAACTAGTGTAGGCCTATACTAAAAAATGATTTCATACAGTAGCATAAATGAATTGTACAATGTAGGGCTATCGTACACATGTAGAGGCCTGTATAATAAAAAGAAATAAATGGGATACGGCATTTAAATAAACCGATATATTCAAAATGCCTGCATAAAGGCCCTGATGAGGAGGATAGGGTGACCGATGTCGAAACAGCACCGCTGAAACCCCCATTGTGTACTACTACTGTACACTGGGCTCGGGAAACTTACATAATGTGGATTTATCGATCTATCTACTCTTCCTGTGTCATCCTCTAAACTACTTATTTCGATAATGAGGGGACGCATAGGTATATTATACGACGTATTCTGCGTTATTGAAGAGCATCGTTTTGAGAGTACATACATGTTGATGATGGTATGATGAGGGTAAGATGATGATGATGCCTTTAATGATGTTAACGGAAATGATGATAGGCTTTACTATAAATAGGCCTATGATAATATATCACTTCGCGGAATTGATAGGTCTATCCGTTTTGTATTTGTGTTCCTTCACAAAACAAAAGGCTCTGCTATGATGCATGATTGTGTACTGTATATTTCCTCTGAAATATAAAAAAAATGATAAGACTCTATTGAATGTACAATATACATTATATGTTAGTACGAAGAATGATTACACCTATAACAAAGCGTTTGACGGATTGCTATGGTAGTTATTAAGTGAGATACGTTATGCATTGTCTGCCGCGGCGGTATGTTTAAACTTACACCTTCAACGTCTTTGACATTGAAGAGGTTTTGTCTTCGAATGTATCGATGTCTTAAAAATATTTAGTATCATGCCATTCGTTACTAACGAATAGATAGCACCGACTACAATATGCTAGTTGGAGGTTTCCGAATAAGGTTAAGAGAATAGAGACAAATGATATTTTGCACATTAGCACTAATTTAGCAGTAATACAAAAAGAAAACTAGTAAATAAAACCCATGGTGTTCTGACAGTACTGTACTCCTTAAGGCCAACTCAGACAGCGTCGTACGACGCAGTTCGACGCGATTCATCGTCGGGAACAGTCTTAAGCCGTCGTGAGAAATATTAAACATGTTTAATAATAATATTCTAC